CTTCCAACCTAAGGGGCTTGTCTTCCTGTACTGTATCAGACAATGTTTCCAGGCTATTCATAAAGTTGCCCAGTAATGTATCAGACAGTGTTTCTCTGCTATTCATAAGGTTTTCCCTGCCCAATTCTTTGAGAAGTAGATCCCCTTTTCCTTCTTCCTAGTCTGTCTCAGTCTGTAAGCTGTGTTGAAACCTGTGCACCATGTGCAACCCTGCTGGCATTTGAAACACTAGTGGCATAGTCTCAAGCCTCACAGCAACACACAAGCCACCTTAATATGAGAAACTGACAGACAAGTTTGTCTCCCTTAGCTGTTTGAAACCTCTCTGCCCTCCCCTTACCTGGACCCTGTCTGTCGTCCCTGGCTTTTCCCTGCTTCCTGCCTCTTGGTAGTGGGGCCTGTGTCCCTTCCCTTACCTGGATCCTGCCACTCTGTCTGTCATCCCTGGCTTTTCTCCCCCAAAAGTTGGGCCATTTAAATAAGAATCACCTTGTGGTGGAAGAAAAGGGCTTCTTAAAAATAGGCCTTCCAGCAAGTGGCCATCTGGATGCAATGATGGGTCTCTCCTTGTACAGAGAAAAAAAGAATGAAGAAAACCAAAGACACATGGAAGTAATTAGTCCAAGGGACTAGCAGGCCATGTGATCCTCAGTGTAGATGACCATGAGACCAGAAGAACTAGATGGTACCTGGCTACCACTGTCAACCACTCAGAGGTGGATTGTTGCAGGAGATCCTGGATAAAGTAGAACAACATGGAACAAAACTCAGAATCATTTAAAAAAAAAAAAAAAGACCAGGTTTGCTGGTCTAATAGAGTCTGGTGACACCCCTGAAACTATGGCCCCTAGTTACCCTTCAGGTCTGGAACTGAACTCACTCCTGTGGCTTGCAGCCAAACCATAGACAGGCATATGAGGTGAACTTTTACATCAGGTAGATGCACTCCTTGGAGCAATCCATCGATTGGCTCAATCATTAATCCAATCATCAATCCTGGGAGAACAGAAGGGCAGGGTTTACACTTGGGGTGGGGAGGGGGCAGGAGTACATGGGAAGGACAAAGGGAAAAGGCAACTAAGGGGAGGAAGTGGGAAGAGATCTGTTACATTGTAGGGAATTGAAGTGAATATCAAGAAACAAAATGTGTATGAACTGCTGTATGGAAAACGAATTTGCTTTGTAAACTTTCACAAAAATCACAATTTAAAAAAAAAGGGAGGCTGGCCTTCTAGGCTCCTACTCCCCAAATCCACATTCCTTAGGTGGAGGGCCAAGACTCTGCATTTCAATGAGTTGCCTCAGGTGCTTTTTATGCAAAGTTTAAAAACCATTGCCCAGTCAATCCCTGA